CTTTGTGGAAAACTATAGAAGAGTCGTCATGTGACTTCCCAGCGGGGTCCGGCATTATGAAAGTGTTTGAAGTGTCTCTGCCCTACTTCATACAGACACCTGTGGCCCTTGTGCTCCTTCTTTCTGGCCCTCAGCGGAGTGAGACTCCCGGCTGTTCTTAAAGTGATACCGTACCCTATTCTACATCTGACTTCTATAGGAAATGTCCCTCAGTGTCCCAATTCCGTGTCCCTGTTCTGTGTCCCAATTCCGTGTCCCTATACCATATCCCTGTAACATGTGCCTGTTCTGTGTCCTATTCCGTGTCCCTATACCACATCCCTGGAACATGTGCCTGTTCTGTGTCCTGTACCGTGTCCCTATACCACATCCCTGTAACATGTGCCTGTTCTGTGTCCTGTACCGTGTCCCAATTCCGTGTCCCTATACCATATCCCTGTAACATGTGCCTGTTCTGTGTCCTGTACCGTGTCCCAATTCCGTGTCCCTATACCATATCCCTGTAACATGTGCCTGTTCTGTGTCCTGTACCGTGTCCCAATTCCGTGTCCCTATACCACATCCCTGTTCTGTGTCCTGTACCATATTGTTGTCCTGTGTCCCCTGTATCGTGTTCCCTCTCTGTGTCCCTGGTCCCCGTTCTGTATGCTCGTCCTGTGTCCCCTGCATTGTGTTCCCTCTCTGTGTCCCTGTACCCGATGTCCCCGTTCTGTGTCCCTTTGCTGTGAGGACTCCCTGCCCGCGGGAGAGCTATCAGGAGTCCTCTGTTTTGGTGTCATTGGAGGGCCGGCACGCGGGGAGTCGGGTTAATTTTATGGTAAATTGGGTTTTATTTTTCAACAATCCAACAGAAGGTAAAATTGGTGTTTCTGGGGAAGATATTTCCAGCACACGGGTGACTTCCTGTCCAGATATCTGAGATAGCCGTCACTTTGTCCCCGGCCGGGTGACATTTCCACCTTTGTCATGTTGTGAGATTCGTCCCTGGCGTGATATTCCTCGCACCCTGACCTCATCATACACCTCCTCTTCTCTCCTCAGATCATCGCTTACCAGCCGTACGGGAAGTCCGTGGACTGGTGGGCCTATGGGGTCCTGCTGTATGAGATGCTGGCCGGGCAGGTGAGTTCAACCCTGGAGAAGTCTTCTGCTAATGTTACAAGAGACTGCTGGGGACTGCGGGAATTATTCTATGTACGGGGGACTGCTAGAGGCTATTTGATTGTTACCAGAGACTGCTAGGGACTGTGACCAAGTTATTAGCCTAAGAGACCTCTGACCTGAGAAAACATCCGGCCAGAGGCAGCGTTACGATGTTACAAGAGACTGTTGCATATCATCCCAGCTTTGCCCAAAGTGCAGTGACTTATAGCAACCAGATCACATTTCCGGGTGAATAACATCCTCCTCCTGATTGGTTGAACTGGTCTCAGCCGCATCCTCCATTAATTCCGGCTTCTAGTGTTCAATTTAAAGAAAAGTTTAAAAAATGACCATTAGAAGGTGGAGTGGCCCTTTAATTGCCTGCGGCTGTAGGAGGTACTGAATCTCCACCAGTCCATGAGGCAGAGGAGCCGTCCTTAGGTGCGGCCGCTGCTTTTGTTTTATCTTAGTGTGGATACATTTTCAGCAAGTTCAGAACATACGAGTCCGTCACTTCCTGGAACCGAAACCTTAAACAATGTTCTCTACAGAACTTCTCCAGCTATGTTATGGAGATGGCGCGGGGGGGTATTATGTAGTCCTAGGGTAATAACACTACTCCTCCATATATACAGTACACTGAGTAAGCGATGTCCCCCTAGGACAGGAAGTGTGTTACTGGCAGGATCACCGGGGGGAAATTGTAAAAAAATGTATGTATCCCCTGGAGTGTAGGCAGATCATGTGGGTGTGTCCTGTATGCAGATCCTGGAATGTGGGTGTGTCCTGTATGCAGATCCTGGAATGTGGGTGTGTCCTGTATGCAGATCCTGGAATGTGGGTGTGTCCTGTACGCAGATCCTGGAATGTGGGTGTGTCCTGAATGCAGATCATGAAATGTGGGTGTGTCCTGTGTGCAGATCATGGAATGTGGGTGTGTCCTGTATGCAGATCCTGCACTGTGGGTGTGTCTTCTATGCAGATCCGGCACTGTGGGAGTGACCTGTATGCAGATCCTGGAATGTGGGTGTGTCCTGTATGCAGATCCTGGAATGTGGGTCTGTCCTGTATGCAGATCCTGGAATGTGGGTGTGTCCTGTACGCAGATCCTGGAATGTGGGTGTGTCCTGAATGCAGATCATGAAATGTGGGTGTGTCCTGTGTGCAGATCATGGAATGTGGGTGTGTCCTGTATGCAGATCCTGCACTGTGGGTGTGTCTTCTATGCAGATCCGGCACTGTGGGAGTGACCTGTATGCAGATCCTGGAATGTGGGTGTGTCCTGTATGCAGATCATGGGATGTGGGTGTGTCCTGTATGCAGATCATGGGATGTGGGTGTGTCCTGTATGCAGATCATGGGATGTGGGTGTGTCCTGTATGCAGATCTTATGCAGGGTTACATTCTCCCACCATAGGTTAGTGTGGAGGAAACAGGTGGAAAGTTTTATTCTCATATATTTCCCCCAAATAATAATATAAAATATGATGATATATTGTATTTCCACCTCCTGCTAGTTGGCGATATTCTTCCTCGTTCGTCCTTTTGATACATTGTTGCATTATGATTAGTAAAGGGGCGTGGCCTACATACAAGTTTGTATAATAGTAAGATAAATGTCTCCTCATTGGCTGTCCAGAGGGGGGAGCACATGAGGTCTATTAGAACCCCCTCTCTGAGCCCATATTGGGGTGCATGTTGCTGTCACTTCCTCTGGTCGGTGGGCCCGCCGCGGCCTGCATCATGTATGCAGATCTTATGCAGGGTTACATTCTCCCACCATAGGTTAGTGTGGAGGAAACAGGTGGAAAGTTTTATTCTCATATATTTCCCCCAAATAATAATATAAAATATGATGATATATTGTATTTCCACCTCCTGCTAGTTGGCGATATTCTTCCTCGTTCGTCCTTTTGATACATTGTTGCATTATGATTAGTAAAGGGGCGTGGCCTACATACAAGTTTGTATAATAGTAAGATAAATGTCTCCTCATTGGCTGTCCAGAGGGGGGAGCACATGAGGTCTATTAGAACCCCCTCTCTGAGCCCATATTGGGGTGCATGTTGCTGTCACTTCCTCTGGTCGGTGGGCCCGCCGCGGCCTGCATCGGGTTTGTAATAAGTGACATTATTATCTGGCGGCTGGCGATGGCTCCGCAGGACATTCCTTCTATTTCATCTCCGCGTTCCCATGGAAACCATCAAATGCTTGGTTGCAGCGTTAACCCCTCCGTGTCCGATGGAGCTCGGCGCAGCCGACTCCCGCCATTGAACGGGTTACACGCGCTGAACCCCGTCACACGCTAATGAAGTGTCGCCACGCAGCTCATTAATTCCCGTCCTTGATTAAGATGCAGCGAGAGCCGCGGCCACTTCCAGCGAGATGAGGCGAGACAGTGAAATGAGGGCTCAGGAAGGACGCAACGGTTTTATGGCTTCCGAGTGAACGCACCGCGCTAATGGCGTCCATTTATCTTCCCGGACAGAATCCCTCCTGTGTGTTCCAGAGCGCCGCCGAAGACACGCGCGCCATTTACAGATAACAACCTGGCCTGAGCCGCACGAAACGTGATCGCGGCGTGACATCAGCGCGGCTCTGAATCACACATCCTGCATTGTGGGTGTGTCTTGTATGCAGATCCTGCAATGTGGGTGTGTCCTGTATGCAGATCCTGGAATGTGGGTGTGTCCTGTATGCAGATCATGGGATGTGGGTGTGTCCTGTATGCAGATCATGGGATGTGGGTGTGTCCTGTATGCAGATCATGGGATGTGGGTGTGTCCTGTATGCAGATCTTATGCAGGGTTACATTCTCCCACCATAGGTTAGTGTGGAGGAAACAGGTGGAAAGTTTTATTCTCATATATTTCCCCCAAATAATAATATAAAATATGATGATATATTGTATTTCCACCTCCTGCTAGTTGGCGATATTCTTCCTCGTTCGTCCTTTTGATACATTGTTGCATTATGATTAGTAAAGGGGCGTGGCCTACATACAAGTTTGTATAATAGTAAGATAAATGTCTCCTCATTGGCTGTCCAGAGGGGGGAGCACATGAGGTCTATTAGAACCCCCTCTCTGAGCCCATATTGGGGTGCATGTTGCTGTCACTTCCTCTGGTCGGTGGGCCCGCCGCGGCCTGCATCGGGTTTGTAATAAGTGACATTATTATCTGGCGGCTGGCGATGGCTCCGCAGGACATTCCTTCTATTTCATCTCCGCGTTCCCATGGAAACCATCAAATGCTTGGTTGCAGCGTTAACCCCTCCGTGTCCGATGGAGCTCGGCGCAGCCGACTCCCGCCATTGAACGGGTTACACGCGCTGAACCCCGTCACACGCTAATGAAGTGTCGCCACGCAGCTCATTAATTCCCGTCCTTGATTAAGATGCAGCGAGAGCCGCGGCCACTTCCAGCGAGATGAGGCGAGACAGTGAAATGAGGGCTCAGGAAGGACGCAACGGTTTTATGGCTTCCGAGTGAACGCACCGCGCTAATGGCGTCCATTTATCTTCCCGGACAGAATCCCTCCTGTGTGTTCCAGAGCGCCGCCGAAGACACGCGCGCCATTTACAGATAACAACCTGGCCTGAGCCGCACGAAACGTGATCGCGGCGTGACATCAGCGCGGCTCTGAATCACTCAAATTTTCATATCAATCATTTATATTTCCTCCGAAAATAAAAGAATCCCCCCCGAAACCGATGACCCGCCGAGTCCTGGCACCGTCCTGACCC